CAAGTAACGCCGGAGCCAAGATTCGTGCTTTGCCACTCGTCTTCCTCCTTCCGCCTCGCTCTCTCTGGCCCGACATAGCTCTGCTCTGCATCTCCGCTCCCTCTACTTTCCCGACGGTTCGAACCCAGAACCCTCCGATCTCTGCCGCTCTGATCCGTCGCAAGGCCGCCGAGATCTCGCTGGCGATTTGCCTCTGCTTTCCTCTGTCATTTCACGTTTATTTCGTTTTTATTGCAATGATTCCTTCGTCTCATTCCCCGAGACGATAACCCTTTTCATTCATAGTTGGTACCGTGTAGTGGGGATAGTTACTCCTAAAATTATCCAAGGTGGTCATTGGAGAATCATTTATGATTTCAGGGCAACCATTGCTGTCATCTTCAGATTCTTCCTCGGTGGTGGTTAAAGATGGAATTGTTCTCGTTTCTTTGGTTGCCTCTGCCTTAATGGGTCTTTCTGTTCTTCTACATTTGACGAGATTCAGGCTGATGCTTTGCTAAAAGACCTAGAAGACTATGGTGAAGATGTTCTTGTTGGCAATACTGGTTTTCATTTGAAAAATCTTAGATCGGTAGGACATCCTCTATCCATTGGAACAACAAAGCAGTACCACTCTGCTGACTGTTCCTTCTCTTAGCAGTTCTCAGTGGAATGCCCCACGCAGGAGCAGAGAAGCCTTGTGTTGTGGGGTTCCATGGAGCTGCATGACAACAATAACACTTCTACAACTTTTGAAATTTCCAGGGGTTCATCTACTGTGCAAGAAAAGTTGAACAAGTCTCGGAAGCTATGCAACAAAAGTGTAGAATTTGATGATGATCCGTCATATGCAGAAGATCCGAGGTTGATATACATTAATGATCCAAGGAAAACTAATGACGAGTATGAGTTTACTGGGAATGAGATTCGAACAAGCAAGTACACACTGATCACATTTTTGCCCAAGAACCTTTTCATTCAGTTTCATCGAGTCGCTTACTTATATTTTCTGGCTATTGCTGCTCTCAACCAGCTGCCACCTCTTGCAGTCTTTGGGAGAACAGTATCTCTTTTCCCCCTCCTGTTCGTGCTGTGTATCACTGCTATTAAAGATGGTTATGAGGATTGGCGAAGACATAGGTCAGACAGAAAGGAGAACAACCAGGAGGCCCCAGTGCTTCAATCTGGGAAATTTCGGTCAAAAAAATGGAAAAGGATAAGAGCTGGTGAAGTTGTGAAGATCTATGCTGATGAGACAATTCCATGTGACATGGTTTTGTTAGGGACAAGCGATACTAGTGGACTTGCTTACATTCTGACCATGAATTTGGATGGGGAGTCAAACTTGAAGACAAGGTATGCTAGGCAGGAGACAGCTTCTTCAGTTTTTGAAGATTGTATGGTATCAGGGCTGATTAGATGTGAGCAACCTAATAGGAATATCTATGAATTCACTGCTAACCTGGAGTTCAATGGACAAAAATTTCCTCTTAGCCAATCAAATATCGTTTTGCGTGGCTGTCAGCTGAAGAATACTGATTGGATAATTGGAGTTGTGGTCTACACTGGACAGGAAACAAAAGCAATGTTGAATAGTACAGTATCCCCTGCAAAGCGAAGCAAATTGGAAAGTTACATGAACAGGGAAACTTTCTGGTTATTTATTTTTCTTCTTGTAATGTGTTCTGTGGTGGCCCTTGGTATGTGCCTATGGCTCCATCACCATGAGGAGGAGCTTGACACCCTGCCTTATTACAGAAAAGTAGAAAACGATACTTCCCAACTGGGAAAGAATATGAAAAGAAATACAAATACTATGGAATTGCAATGGAGACTTTTTTCTCCTTTTTAAGTTCCATAATAGTGTTCCAGATAATGATCCCCATCTCTCTTTATATTACCATGGAGATGGTTCGCTTGGGACAATCATACTTCATGATTGAAGACAAGCACATGTATGACAGCAGCTCTGATTCAAGATTTCAGTGCCGATCATTGAATATAAATGAGGATTTGGGTCAAATACGCTATGTCTTTTCAGACAAAACAGGGACGCTTACTGAAAACAAAATGGAATTCCGCCAAGCTAGTGTGTATGGAAAGAACTATGGAAATTCTGTTTTTATGGTGGATAACATCACAGGTATAATATAACTCCACGATCTCCTGGTGTTTGTACTTGTGATTTAGAAATTTAGGCCATTAACACTTGTCAAGTCCACATTTTGCAAATTTTTAGTTCTTTTGCATTGCATGGCATGGGTACACAGGATTGTATATGCTATTTTGAAGATGAATTTTAAATTGTTTTTGGTCATCTTCATTGTTTTGATTGAGTTGTTGACATTTATAAATTAACTGAGATTCTTAACAAATCTTAAGCATGATCATGTCATCATAAGCTGCACTCTTGGTGAAGTCAGACCATAGATCTCTCTGTTCTATTGTTAAGCTTTATGAAATGAAGCATACAATGAATTGTTCCGAAGGTTTGACTGTTTATGTTCATGATGATTGGCTTCACTTAGCAGTTGCGCCTATTCATGTTGCTCTCCTCCTGTTTAGTATATAATAAGGGTTGACATTTGCCAACGCTTTTCAACATGATGTTTTACTCTTTGGTATTATATCTTGCTAAGAAGTTAGTGCATTCCTTAACAATATCATGAACTTTATTTGGATGATCATCATGTTATTGCTGGAATTCTTCAACAGAGGATACTTCTGCCAGGAGACGATTCCGGTTTCTTATGTATGAGTCATCATTTGTATAATCTTTTACAGATTCTGCTGTTGGTAGAAGAAGATGGAAACTTAAGTCTCAAGTTCCTGTTGATATTGAGCTCATGCAATTATTGCGCAAAGGCTTGGCTGGTGGTGAGGGAATGGCTGTGCACGAGTTCTTTCTTACACTTGCTGCTTGTAATACTGTAATCCCAATGCATACTCAAAGTTCCTCTTTGGATATGGGAAGAAGTGATGCACAGGAAGATGTGGAAGTTATTGAGTACCAAGGTGAATCTCCTGATGAACAAGCACTAGTTTCTGCAGCCTCTGCTTATGGTTACACTCTCTGTGAGCGCATGTCTGGGCATATAGTAATTGATGTCCTGGGTGAAAAATTAAGGTACATCCGTACATGGTCTTTTACAAAAGTTTTCATGCATCAGAATTAATGATCACTTCAGTAACTGTGATTTGGTTGAAGGTTAGAGTATTAAAAATATGTTCTCCATGCAAAATACATCACATTGTTGAAATAGAAAATTAACATTGCAGGTTGGATGTCTTGGGTCTGCATGAGTTTGACAGTGTGCGCAAGAGAATGTCTGTTGTCAGATTTCCAAACAATAGTATGAAGGTGCTGGTTAATGGTGCTGACACTTCAATGTTCAGAATTTTAGCCAAAAACACTGAGAAGGATGACCAAATAAGGCGTGCAACTCAGACTCATTTGACTGAATATTCATTGCAAGGTCTTCGCACTCTTGTAGTTGCTGCAAGGGATCTTACAGATGCAGAACTTGAGCAGTGGCAGTGCAGGTTTGAAGATGCTAGCACTTCATTAATTGACAGAACTTTAAAACTACGCCAAACAGCAGCTCTCATAGAATGCAACTTAAATCTACTTGGAGCAACTGCAATTGATGATAAACTACAAGATGGGGTACCAGAAGCAATTGAGGCTCTTCGTCAAGCCGGATTAAAAGTCTGGCTTCTGACTGGTGATAAGCAGGAAACAGCAATTTCTATTGGTCTTTCTTGCAAACTTTTGACTACTGATATGCAGCAGATAATTATAAATGGCAATTCAGAGGAGGAATGCAGAAATCTTTTGGCTGATGCAAAGACCAAATATGGTGTACAATCACCCAATAGAACATATCAGAATTCAAAATTGAAAAGGAATGCTGAAAATGGATATCTTGATTTACCGCATGATGGTACTAGAAGTTCTAATGGGTTACAGTGGCATGCTAGGAAGGAAGAAAGACCCATAGCACTCATAATTGATGGCAACAGTTTGGTGTACATTTTGGAGAAGGATTTAGAGTCAGATGTAAGAATACTGTTTCCTCAGATAAAATTGTTAATTTATCTTCTGCTGTTTAGTAACTTGTCTTTTGGGGATTGATCTATGTCTGAATTTCCTCTTTATATGCACAGAAATCTGTTTTGACTCTTTTATATATTTACACTCCCGTAATACTTAGTGGTCAATATTTATGGTGCAAAACTTTTATCTTTGAAAAGCTTTTCGACCTTGCAACTTCCTGTAGGGTTGTGCTATGTTGTCGTGTTGCACCATTGCAGAAAGCTGGAATTGTTGATATGATCAAAAGCCGAACTGATGATTTGACACTGGCTATTGGTGATGGTGAGTTTTTGTTCTGATAGTCCTTTTGTCATTAAGGAGGATTGTGTACAAGCTTGCTTTAGTTGCAGTTGCTTTGCATGCCAAACTAATATTGTCGTTAAATGTTGATTCAACTTGGGCTTTATGTATTGTGGAGTTGCATCTCAAAGCATCTACTGAAATGATATTTGTTTTGGGACGCTGTTATGCTTTGGCTTTACCTGACTAATGACATTCTGGGCAGGGGCTAATGATGTCTCTATGATCCAAATGGCTGATGTTGGTGTTGGAATATGTGGTCAGGAAGGGCGTCAAGCAGTGATGGCATCAGATTTTGCTATGGGCCAGTTTCGTTTTCTGAAGAGATTGCTTCTGGTACATGGACACTGGAATTATCAGCGTGTTGCTTATTTAGTTCTGTACAACTTTTACCGTAATGCTGTTTTTGTGCTGATGCTATTCTGGTATGCTAGTCTTTTCTTTTTCATTGTGATCTCAGTCCAGTGCTCTCTTTCTTTCTCTCTCTCTGACATTCGTTTCTTTTATTTGTAGGTATATATTATGCACAGCATTTTCAACAACTTCTGCACTAACAGATTGGAGCAGTGTATTTTATTCTGTTATATATACATCCATCCCAACAATTGTTATTGGCATTCTGGATAAGGACTTAAGTCATAGGACTCTTTTACAGTATCCAAAACTATATGGTGCAGGGCATAGGCATGAGGCTTATAATCTGCAACTGTTTTGGATCACAATGATTGACACATTATGGCAGAGTTTTGTTCTCTTCTATGTACCTCTCTTTACCTACAAGGAGAGTGCAATTGATATATGGAGCATAGGCAGTTTATGGACTATAGCAGTTGTTATTCTTGTAAATATGCACCTGGCTATGGACATTAAACGATGGGTGCTTATTACTCATGCTGCAGTGTGGGGATCAATAATTATCACCTATACATGCATGGTGGTATTGGATTCTATACCTATATTCCCCAATTATTGGTTAGTTTCAACAATTTCCAAGCAAAGATATTATTTTGTCTATCACATTTAGTTCTATTATTCTATAGATTTGAGCTAAATTAATTTTGATATTTGGCAGGACAATTTACCATCTCACTAAGTCACCAACCTATTGGCTCACCATATTTCTTATAATAGTTGTTGGATTGCTTCCTCGATTTCTTGTCAAGGTTGTACATCAGATCTTTTGGCCTTCAGATATCCAGATAGCCAGAGAAGCAGAGTTACCAAAAAAACCACCTGAGAGGTCGAAGACTGATCAAGGGTCCAGTTAATCTCTATTTTGACACCCTTTTTTGAAATGATTTCTAAGTCTGTCCCTCATTTGGCCTTCCTATGGCATGCAGTTGCAAGTTAAATGGTATGTGCTCACTCTACCTTGTTTTTATTCATGGTACAAGTACTTTTTACCATCCCCAGTGAACTATTTCCTCAGAATTCCCTGTTAATTTAAATAGAGATGGAATTACAAGACATAACATAGTTGAAACACATTTGGGTTGCAACAGCATAAACTACCTTAATATCTTCTCTTCAGTTTCTTTTACATAAATCTGATTTCAGGAACTATTGTTGTTCCTGCTTCACATGTGACTAATACTATTTAGTGGATTATTTTAAACATCCTGCATGGGTATTTATTTTCTTTTTAGATTGTGTTTCTTCAAAGTCAGAATTTTATGATGAAAATTGCTTTGGAATAGAAGCCCCTAAGAATTAGCCAGATGTCTCTAGCTCCGGCTGCTGCCTTTTATTTTATTTTATTTTATTTTATAAGTTCTTAGGCTTTGTTAAAACTCTTGTAAGTCATGAAGGTTTGATATATAATATTGGTATCAAACCAAACAAAGCAAAATTAACTTGTTTTGCAACTTCCATGTAAGATTCATAAATTAACTCATCAAATCAAATGAAGTTTTATCTGCACTCATCCAAGAAATTT